GACATAGTTGCCATTTCCATCGTTTGGATGTTTCAGAAAATATCCTACTGATCGTTATTGCCTGATATGTCGGTTTTACCCGAGCCTCCCCTACCCTTCTTTTACATTTCGTCTGCTTCCTAAAGTTGGTAAATGTAGGATAATTTTTATAAAATGCAAGTGGAAATTCTGCAAGAAATGCATGGTTACAAAAGTTGAAAATTGAGAAGCCAGTATCAAAGTATTTGAAAGTTTTTTCCCATACACAGCATTTTAAATATTATTTGCCCAGAGGTAATATATGTAGATTTATTTTTCGATTAAATGTTTTTATTTTACCTTTATTTTTTGTTGTAGATGCCTCATCCAAAATGAAATATTTAAAAAAAAAATTGCTGTGCCTTCTTGCCAGTTTTTAAGTAAATGTTTGACGATTCTGTTCGATAAACTACAAAATCAGATATTGAGAGAACAAAAAGAAGATTTAAACCACAGAATAAAGATTCTGTGTCCAAACTAAAAATGTTCAATCAGTGTTAAATGTGATAGTGATAATAAACAAAGTCATAGTTGAGAGTGATTTGTTTCAAGATAGCCTATCTACTCACACCAAACATAGAGGTTGCAAATACTTTTTAAGTGTATAGACATTAGTGTACAAGTGCCTACCCCAAAAATTAAAACAATTTCAGATCTTTTAAAATCTGACAAGAGTTGTGTTCATTCACTGGTATTAACAACTTTAACATACTGTAGAAAATATAGTGAAATAAGCTGAAATACTTCTGAAGATGGCATATTAGGCATTGTAACTCAATAAAAAACGTTTATTAAACATTGGCATATTTTGTTGACAGGAAAAATAAAAAAATATTTTATTTTTATATTTATTGCTTATAATAATAGACGAAAAATAAATCAAAATTTAAATGTGGATAGACGTAAATGCAATAAAATGAATTTAGCTCAAAGCCAATATCACAAAATATCACAAAAAACAACTACTCCTTTGGCTAATACCGCAACAGGCATTGAATTACATCCGAAGGAAAGACAGCAGAGATAGAAAATTAATTTTCAACACTCTCTACTTTGATTTTGCTCACCAAGGAGAACATCATTTACGTCTATCCACTTTTAGTTTTGATTTATTTTTCGTCTACAAATTGCCCGCCTAGTGCTTTTTGCTTCTACCTAGTTTCCTAACTAAGTAATTTTTATCTGAAAAATTTTCTTCTCCAAACATCAATAACAGATATATTCCATAAAATATAAAAACGGCCTCTCATAAAGTACCCCCCCAAATATTCCGCCTTCGTCCAAAATCTAATCATTTCACCTCAGGCCGAAATAAAATTTAATGTTTTTTTCTTTATTCGTTTTTGAGTTTCCTTCAAAATTCGAAATTTACACATTTTCTCAAATATCTCAAATACGGTCTATTTTAGAGAAATTATGTATTGAATAAAAATTATAGAGAATTATATTACAAACAACTTTTATTTAAACAATTTTTATAAAAAAATTATTTTTTTACATTTTGTCAAATTTCTCGAATACGGACCATTTTAGGAAAATTTTGTATAAAACAAAAATTTTAGATAATAATATAAGAAGTAACTTTTATTTAAAGAATTTTCTTCTCCAAATGTAAATAACGGATATATTTTATAAAATATAAAAATGACCACCAATAAAGTACCCCCCAAATGTTCCGACTCTGACAAAAAACTAATCTGTTCACCGCAGGCTAAAATAAAGCTAAAGTTTAAAATTTAATGTTTTTCCTCTATCCGTTTTTGAGTTTTCTTCAAAATTCGAAATTTACACATTTTCTCAAATATCTCGAATACGGTTCATTTTAGAGAAATTATGTATTGAATAAAAATTATAGAGAATTATATTACAAACAACTTTTAATTAAACAATTTTTATAAAAAAATAATTTTTTTAAATTTTATCAAATTTCTCGAATACGGACCATTTTAGGAAAATTTTGTAAATAACAAAATTTATAGATAATAATATTATAAGTAACTTTTATTTGAAAAATTTTCTTCTCAAAACGTAAATAACGGATATATGTCATAAAATATAAAAATAACCACTTATAAAGTACCCCCCCAAATGTTCCGACTTCACCCAAAATCTAATCACTTCACCAAAGGCTGGAATAAAGCTTAAGTTTCAAATTTGGTGTTTTTCTTTGTATCGGTTTATGAGGTATGGTGGATAGAGACACACACACACACACACACACACACACACACACACACACACACACACACACACACACACACACACACACACACACACACACACACACACACACACACACACACACACACACACACAGACACACAGACACACAGACACACAGACACACAGACACACAGACACACAGACACACAGACACACAGACACACAGACACAGAGACACAGAGACACACAGACACACAGACACACAGACACACAGACACACAGACACACAGACACACAGACACACAGACACACAGACACACAGACACACAGACACACAGACACACAGACACACAGACACACAGACACACAGACACACAGACACACAGACACACAGACACACAGACACACAGACACACAGACACACAGACACACAGACACACAGACACACAGACAAACAAAACTGGAGTTCGAAAAAAATCATGATTCCTATACTTTCCTTATCTGTATACAGATAGGAAAGTAAAAATATTAAGACTAAAAACTAGTACAAACTACAAATTAAAATTATGACTAAGTAAATTTTATATCAAAACTAACAAACAAAACAAAAATAGAACGTTAATAGATGATTTTAAAAGGACAATTATTCTGAATCTGTTTTAAAACATCTTGTTAAATAAAATTATGGAACATTGAAGATTATCAAATAGTTTATGCAAACATAAAAGTGAAGCCATAAATATTCTGCTTCCCTACCAAGGACACATGTTTTTTTTTAATAATCATAAACTGATTTTAGATTTATTTGAAAATATGAAATATTTTGTGTAGTGCCATTATTTATCGATTCTTTACAATAATCATTTGTAATTATATTTATTCTTAATAACTAAAACATATACTGAAAATTAGTTTGATAGAATTATCACTCATTTAAAATTTTAAACAAATAATGGTATCCTTGTGACCAAATATGAACTGTGATTGGTGGATTTCATAACTGTACAGTGTTCTTCGTAGAATGGATAAAAATATTCGTTCAATGGCCTACTTTTTTGTTCTGTAGTCAGTACGTAGAATAAATAATATACATGTGGGTGTAGAATAAAATCATAAGGTTGTAATAATCGGCATTATTTTTTTTAAAATATAAAGAATTTAACAAAAATCCCAAAAATATCTAATATTTTTAATATCTATTAAATTAACACAACACAATTATTAAAACCAAACAATTAGAAATAGTTTATTGTACTAGTAAATTAGGACAAGGACAAATCGTGTGGATAATCATTAAAAGTAAATAAGTCGAGTTTCTTTTAAAATAATATTTATTATTTATTTGATATAAATAGAGAGTCAATCGTTGACACAAGAGAGACTCAAGGGGCGGCCGTTGGGCCAAACCTATGCCCAAAAATGTAACTTAGTAATTATTTATATTTATTGTAATTATACATTTGTTAATGTTTTAATCTCTTTAATCTCTTCTTCCTTTCCAAACCAGCAAAATATTCCGAGAATTTGAGAAGCCTCGGCGTTTCTATTCCCTTAGGACTAAAAGAGTCTAAAACTAGTTGCCAAGAACCCCTCGACATATGCTATTAAGGGATGTTTTTTGTATTTTATTATATTTTCATTATTATTTTCTTTTGCCACTGGCGATTGGATGTTCCTTCAGGACTCCAGGACCCTAGGGCTGGTGACAAGTGCTGCCTTTATCCCTTAATAGTATAATAACAACAGTAGTAACAGTAGCTAATGACCTATCAGTAGTTGCAAATGGTCTTTAGGCTTGCCGGTTGTTACAATTGGTGACAGCGGTTGTTACTGGTATTCAATCGAATTAGCATGATAGTTCTTTAAAACAGTATACCTACACCTAGAACACTTTATTAAGACTCCTGAAATATGTTTGCACTGTTCCCAGCTTAAAACAAACATTGCCATTCACCAATTTCTAACATCTTGTGAATGAGAACTGGCCTACAACAATATGGGGATCTGAATTCAATGCACTAGTTTGGAGAACAACTGCATAAACAGATATATGTTTATCACTAAATTCATTATTTCCACATGAAAACTAGGTATGTGGCCTGCATTTAAAATAACATCTTCTTTAATAACAGTCCTGGAATTTTTAACTGCACCAATATACTTCATAAGTTCTATTAAACTTAGCCTTATTTCAGATATCTCACTGAAAATAGAATAAATATATTAATATTTTATTAAAAGATAACACAAATAACTTAAATTAACATAAATAAATGAAAATAACTCAAAAACAAAAATAAAAGTGTCTAAAAATTAACAACAATATGTTTTCCTTAAAATAGCACCAATATAAACTAAACAGTTTAAATGTTAAGTACAGACGGCGCTGCGATCTTAATTTTAGATCCCAATAAGTATGAAGAAAATCTTCTAATAAAGTTATAGCAGTTCCTGCTGAAACTACTGGTTGTTATGCAGGATAAACTAAAGGGGAGTGTGTTTATCTCCGAGCTATGTGCTACAGTGTTCTGACCGGAGCATTTATTTTTTCTTTTCTTTATTTCTCAAGCTTTTCAATTTATTCTTTAGTTCGTTTTCACTTTGAGGATATGGGGGTGTATTTTTCTTAATTTCGTATGGGCAATTCGGGATTTTATTATCAAATTTTTAAAAAAAATTGCACATATTCAAAATATTAAAAACTTGTTATCTAAAGGAATGTTTCTAAAGGAATTTGTCTACCACTTACAAGTAGATTTACATAGATAAATGTAATTATTTGACCTCTCAAGTGTAAATTATTTTTTTTGGGACTAAAATACTTTAAAAAATCATATAAATAAGATATCGCCAAACAAATTGTTGTCAGATCATACAAAATGTTCAGTGCTAAAGTTGTTGTCTTCCTCGCAGCTGTAGCTATATGCTATGGTAAGTAATTATGGTTTCAGAAATATTTAAAAAACCATGGGTTTTTTACTTGACGCCACCTTGGTCGTATTAATCCAATTAGATTTATTATCAATTGTTCAATATTATTTTTGGGACAATACACTAAAATTTATGGAGCAAATCAGTAATTTATACCTAATGTATTAAAAAAGGTCTCCATCACAGTTTACTAAATGAATTATAAAAATAATTACTCTTATTTGCATTTTTTAGGAGCACCAAATGCCGGACTCCGCAAACATCACCTAAGGATCGACGGTGGCGTTGATGCTAAAATAGAAGATTATCCATTCGTAGCTTCCGTCCAATGGTGTGTCTTCGGTTGCGAACACACTTGCGGTGCTGTAATCATTAATGAGAACTGGGTATTGACCGGCTCTAATTGTATTGAAGATACTCTTAGTATTGCTGTTGGAACTGCTAACTTACAAGGAACCGACGGAGTTTTAGTTGACGTTGAATCATCGCACGTTCATCCTGACTCCCCATCTGATGGGTAAGTTCTTTAAACTCACTTTCATTAGCTGTTTATTCGATTTTTTTTTAATTTTCACTACATTAGGTTGGTTAAAGAAACTAACATTAATTTTGTTGAACTTTTTATTAAATGTTTTTATTGATTCGACAATTATGTAGAACTAGTATTACAAAATAAGTATTCCTTTTCCAATTTCATATATTTTAGGCATTTTTTTTTAACGATTCCTCGATGTTCTATAGGGTTATTGTTGAATACATCTAGCACCTCATCGGTTTTTAAATGACATTTTGGAGACAGATTTATTATTAGCTTTTCGCGTCATATTACATATTCAAAAATTATGAGAATCAAAGGCAAAAATTGTAAAAAGTACTATTAAGGTAATCAAGGCACAACGAATGTTCATTTCTCTTTCAAATTTAGTAAAATTTTGACTAATACTAATGAAATTTAAGTTAATGTCTTCCTGCGCATGTTTTTAATCGTTACTTGTTCCATTTATATGGCTTTTCACATTAAATAACGTTTACGTCATACAAATCGGAGTAGCATGTTCCGTCGTTATTAATTATATCTAAGGTTATTTAACATTAAACACCCATTACCTCGTTCGAATAGACGCTACTGTCCTTTTGGACGCTGTTCATCATATGAATTGTCAAATACTTCATCTATCAACTCACCCGGTGATTTCCCAATTTCCCCAGTGATATAATTCTTCCCTTGTCCTAATACTCCAATGTATCATATTCTCACACTAGTGAGCAATTTTTTTCATATTTTTAGCATCATTTATCGACGTTAATTAGCAAATTCGTCGTGTATTAACTCAGTGATACCAATATACCCTAGTGATACCAATTCCCCCGGTGATATCAATTTCACTTATGTTCTCATTAAACTTTAAATATACCCCGTATATATCTACTGCCAATTTTCGGCGAACTCCCGGTGATCAAACGGTATTACCCGTATCATTTTTGCGACGTGAACCGCTTAAGGGGAAGTGTTATGACGTCATTCAATGACGTCATTGTTTGCTACCGCCGGTGATGAATCTGTTCCCGGTCTCTTAAGGTCTTTAAGGTAGTGAACAAACGGTTGATAGTGACAGTTGACATTTTAAATTTTCGTTCACAGCGTTCTGTTTTGGAATTTTTGGTAGCTGCCAGAGTTGCGTTTTATTTTGTGCTTTTATGTATTATTTTATGTATAATAATAAATTACTGAGTATGTGTTTTCGTTAAACTGTCTCTAAATTCTATTTGAATTTGTTATTTAAAAGAAAAATTGTCTGTTTTCCTCAATTTTAGATTTTTCACAGTTTGTTTATTGTTAAATACCTTTTAAATATACATAACAATCATAACATAACCTCGTTTATCTAAGAGGTTGACGGTTGACGTTAACCGCCGATTCATTTTAGAGAAGAATTTTTTAGATACCGAGACATGATAGTAGGGGAATTTGACATGTCACGGTTTTTGTGTCATTGTTTACCAACGAGAGCACACCAACAAATGACGTAGATTTACGTAAACGCATGTCGTTAAAAACTTGATAATATATACAGTTCGTTTTTTCCTCACTCCGGTAGAACGGTAAAGAAACACAATAATATTAATTAGAGAGAAATAGAATTAGAGGCGGATCACAATATACATGCAATATTCTATCTTTATTCTGCTGGGAAAGCTGCTTAACAAATTGTTTATGTACATAATTTGGTACCATGGTACTTCCATAGCATCATAGTTGCACTACTAATATTTGTAAAATTGTTGAGAAACAAATGTTTTGTTTCTTCAAAAGTTGCCCAATAAAAAAAAATATTCGTTACAAATACCAATTTTTCTTTTAGAGTTGGTCCAAATGATCTTGCTCTACTTAAGTTAGCTAAACCACTGACCTTCAACGACAAAGTTCAAGCAGCGAAATTGCCAACTCAAGGCCAAGAATTTACAGGTAAAGCTGTTGTAACTGGTTACAGTTACACTGAAGACCCTTCTGTCAATACACTCCAAGCAGCTGCTGATCTAGATCTTATTTCAAACGCAGGTAAGTGTTTTTAATACAGTATGAAAAAATTTAAGGAGAGAAATATAGGAATATACTTTTTTTTGTGTCATCGGCTAACTACCAGGGTTATTTCGCCTCGTGTTCTACGTAGGATTTGTTACTGTTTCCCAGCGCCACTTTAGGAATAGCACTGTTAATTAGAACCTAACAGTGAATTTTCGAGTGGGGAATCCTACCAAGGCATCATAATTAATTTAAAATAATTAAATTAAATGAAAAAATCCCGGCCAACGGTGGAATTCGAACCTGGGACCCTTGGATCCACAGGCAGAGACTCTACCACTGAGCCACCCACTCCCATAGGGATATTATTATAGTTATTATTTTTAAACAGAATTTGGTTCTCAAATGTATTGAAATAGGAATCTGGTTGGAATTTATAATCGAACTTTGAGGAGTTGTCTCTCAATGCCCCCTGGGGAGTAAAATATATTTTATAAGCCCTCAAAGGAATTAAGGATCCTTTAAAATGAAGGTACGTCTACAGAAGAGTCTGGGTTAATCCATTTGAAAGGTCAGAGCGCAGATTCAAACCCGCTTTAAATTTTCCAAGGGTGCAGTTCAAAATAATATTTACCCTCTTATTGAAGAGGAACTGCAAACTGTAAATAATATAAGTTTGCCTGAATCTGGACTGTATCGTCAACGATTTAGTAAGTGCTGATACTGTACTCTAATAAAATACGTTGTTATCAAATGTTATTCATCCTCAATTTATAAAATAGAAATGACGACACCTCAAAGATCCTTAACCTTATGGGAAATCAAGACTCGATCATAAATTTTAGTAAACTTTAGTAATTTTTAGTAAGTTTTAAAATATTTTAAAACATTTTAGTAAACTTTATTAAACTAAATTTTAGCATTGTGAGCTCATCAACCAGACCTAAAGAGTAAAACAAACTTTACGTGTTCTTTAATTGTTTTAGATTGCAACAAACAGTTAGATATATTCTATCCAGGCAAAAACTATTTGGATGATAAAGCCAACGTATGCACCTTAAGTGCAACTTCCAACCACTGCTATGCTGACGCTGGTAGTCCTGTGTCTCAGGATGGAACTGTCATCGGTATCGCCACATGGTACGTTTTGCCATGCGGTGCCAAAGGAGCTCCAAATGTGTACACCAAACTTTCTAATTACGCCGACTGGATCGCACAAACCATTGCCGCTAATTAACCCTTAATGGACGGCTATGTGATTTTGACAGAAAAAAATCGATGTTTTATTGTTTTTTATATTCTTTAGCATAAAATAAAACACATACATGCAATATTTTATTTATTTTTTTACAAACATTTAAAAAAAGTGGTGGTTCAACAGTTTAACCACTAGGGCGCAACTGGCTCAACTACTTGCTATGATATATTTGATAACAGTTTCTTTTGTCCGATAGGCATAGCCCAACTGTACAAGTAGAACAGTGCCATTTGGTACGATGAGGTTCTAATTTGGTACTACAGTTGGCACATCGAACGCTAGTTCCATATTTTGACAAATGAGCAGCTTTATCTGTTCTTATTTCTATTGGTACACGTACTTTGAATGGATTTTCTGCAGTTTGACTTGTTCTTGTCTCCGACACATTGACGTTAGCTCCGATCAAACCTGTTATTACTGACAATTTGAACTCCTTCAATGGCATCACAGTACCACGGCCACATACTTTGATTTTCTTTTACTATACGGAGAATGGTCGCACTGCGCAGCTTTCTGAGTGCCTTTTAAAAGGAGATAGAAAACTCCGCCATTTTGAACCCTTATTACGTGTTGCCTACATCTTGGCGCAATATTTTTAATAGGTGCGTTTTAATCATCCACTTCTGCTTCGGAATTGTCGGTTTTCTTGTTTTAATCTGACAGGTTAAAACGACTAAACCGACAATTCCGGAAGCAGAAGCGGATGATTAAAACGCACATGATATTTTGCTTGCTGCTGTCAGTGTCAGTGAATATTATTTTTGAAGTCACAGTTTATTACTAAAGAATCAGTTAGCTCACTCGGACCAGTTAAAAGTTCCAAAATAACATCCACTCCAGGGATACAAATTCAGGATACGCAGAAGACTGCTGTTTTATTATAGGCGGTTGTCATATATTGTATTATCCGAGTTGCACAGTGTATAAACTGAAACATTGAGATCAAAAGTGCCGACGCAGAGTGAGCGATCTGATTCTTTAGCTGTAAACTGTGTCACAGGGTTCAAAATGGCCGCGCCCTATGTTGGGCGTGTCGGACCTCTCTCTTGCCTCGTATAGTAATCAAAGTATGTGACCACGGCATAATAAACAATCGGCAGGCTAACTTGTCTTGGCGGCAACGCTACGCGCACACCGCCATTTTGGGGTCGAACCTCTCAATCAAGCCAGTGGCGTCACTGTCGTCGTTTATATCGACAAAAACAAACAAGTTGCAGTAGCACGGAATCAGTAGCGTGTATCTTAAATTTATTTTGTTTGTGATGTTTGTATTATGTAGTTATTGTTATTTTTTTAGAATTATAGATATTTTTGACACTTTTTATATGGTAGTTGTTTTCCAGTGTTAATTTGTTAACTTTTAAGTATTTTACTATGTCTGGGCAAAGTTGTGCAGCAAAAAACTATATGAATAAACTGTATTAAAAGATTTTTTCGGTTTCTTAAAGATCTTATTAGGTATGTATGGTATACTTTTAAAAAAATCCTAGTATATGAGTCAGTTTGTCAGTTATAAAGCTATTAGTAAGATGTAGGTAGGTGCCCACGTAAAGTTTAGCGTCAATTTATATTTACTTATGTAGGTATATTATTAAGATTTAAAGTAAAATGTTATATTTCAAACATCTCCCGTATGGAGTTGACAAAATGGAAAAATTTTTATTTTAAGGAAAGTCATTATAAAAAAATTCTGTTTGACGAAAAAATAGGTTACTATATTAATATGTTAGGTCAGGTGTACATGGTCTTAATAAATGAAGAAACTTAAAATTGACAAAAGGAAAAAATCTGTATTACCTTATTGATTTTACGAAGAAAAGTCACAGTTTTCCTTTCGGTTTTCCTTCATAACTTTAAAAGGAAACTTTTTCTTGTAATTTTTTGTAAGGAATAATTTTTTTTTTCTGAAAAAAAATGAATATTAATCGTAATTGTGTTATTCCCAAATATTGAAATGCTTAACAAAAATTTAATTCTGATATTCATTTTGATAATTATTCTAGATATGCAAATAACAAAGCTTTATAATCTTGATAAATCTAAAGTATTTCATTACAAAAAGCAAGAAAATCTTAATTAGCCATTAAAGAAATTATAAGTAGTAAATTAGTAATGAGTCACAATCAAAATCATGTGTTTCAAGCAGTGCTATTAAAAATGTAAAATTCTTATATTTTGTCAAAGTAAATTCAAAAGCCCGCCAATTTTCAAGATAAAATAGCATTACATCTTTCTATATTACCGACTGAGTATTAATTGCACAAAACTATTCCATATGTCGCTGAAGGTAAACATGCTGCCAAATTTCTGTGAGGAATCTGCAACTCTTAATTATCCTTCCTCCATGATGGTAACTGTGTAAACCCTACATCGGTCCAAATTCAAAGGACGTTCAAAAAATTGCAATGTTTAAATTTATTACATTCTGGAACTGAAAACTGCGAAACAGGTGGGGATGCTTTACTTGTAAGGCTACATGAAATTCGTAGGACTAGTAAGGATGAGCCATTTTCCAAAATCGCGTGTAATAGTGGCAATATTGTCAAAAATGTAAATATAAACAAGCATATTAATGAATTGCATGCACAAAATATTAATATTTTTTATGAAAATGCGGATTTTTAATAAAAAAAATGTCTTAAAATTCAACGTTGCGATGTATGTACACAATATGCCTTAACACACGAAGACTTGGATATAAGCTCCATGTATTGTTATTATAAAGCATACAAAAAAAGCAAATAAAGATATTTTTGGCAATTTAAAAATGTCAAATAATAGTTTTGTATGTTTAGTAACGAAAATTGAAATAATTTTTCATCACAATTTTGAATTATTTATCAATAAATCCGGCGTTTGTATTTTTTTTTAGATTTGATTAATTCCGAGATAACATTTGACGCTCCTTGTCCCCGATTTTCATAAATATATGTTATTAAGGGTCGATTCCACCGTTGTGTTAAACGGAGATTAAAATGACATTGTTAAAGTAAAAATGTAATTTTAAACTTCGTTTAACACAACGGTGGAATCGGTCCTTAGTTATATTTAAGGCTGCTCATATATTTCACTTTAAAAATATTAATAGAAATTTTAAGACCATCAATAAAAACAAGCTAATTATTTGGCGCAATCTGTGAAGCTTTTTTGTTTTAATACGATCCTGCCTATCAATACCTTATTTTATTACAATATCTTTAAATACGCTTTAATCCGACCCTGACTAAGACCCCCGAATGGCGGCATCGTCAAGGTCAAATTGTCTTAGTATAATATTTGTATGCGATCAGCGCAGAGTGAGCCTGCCGATTGTTTTTTATGCCGTGACAGTACCATCAATATTTTCTTTATAAATAAAGCCTTGGTTTCTTTGAACACTCCGTCGCGGTAAGCGGACAGTCCGTCGACCGCTGAGGACATCAATTTTCGCCCGAGGTGGTTTGTTAAAAAATATAGAAAATGATACTTTCTCTATGTCTGTACGTGCTGTTTATGTATTATGAATGTAAACGAAAGGTACTAAAATGGATGCAAATAAATTGTTTGCATTGTTATTATTGTTGGAAGAGGAAAAACAAGAGGAACTGGCAATTGCAACCGTCAAAGTTTCCAATAAGCCAGTGGATGAGTTGTTTTTGTGTCGCGATACAGAAGGTGCCTTTAATATCACTGTGCAGCGGAGGCTTTTTGGAAATGAAACCAAATTTAGGGACTTTCTACAGATCTTTTAGAATTCGTGTTGAGTTTTATAAAGGACATACTTTCCAAGAAACCTAAAAATAAAGTCATGATGTCATCTGTATGTGTGAATTTGTCACTCATTGGCCGTGTTCATCGTCGTCAAACATGTTGTAACGCTGAGTAAGCGGTGACGATAAACTGTCAACCGCTGCAGCGCTTTTGAAGAAGCATAAAAGCGAAAATAAACTCGCTTGTTTGCAGAGACAATCCAGCTTGTTTGCTTTAAAAGCATAAAATTGACCTTGAACCCCTGTCAAATCCGTCTTTTGGCATTTTGTTAGGTTATGTGTTTGTTTATTTATTTATATTTTTAAGGTTTTATACCCTAATAGAGTTGATTAGTTAAGTTGTATTTTAATATAATATTGTATTTATGGAGGTACCTGTTTGAAGAAAATAAAATTAATTCCAGACGTAGATACATACACGTATGCTTAAATTATTTCATTTGGACATTAATGGGATTCCACCAGTAAGGAATATGGATAATATAACATACCTACATATTATATAGTTTTAGCACAGAGTTATTCAAAACAGACGAGTTTTGTTATTAAAACTGCACCGATGTTTTTTGTTTTCATGTAATGTATATAGGGCATTAAAAAATAAATAATAAAAGTATGACATTTTATTTACAAAATAAATTAAATATAAGCAATTATATTAAAAAGGGTCCACCTTGGTTTGTTGAACCTATAAAAAAATACCTCATTACTGTATACATTTCAAATAATTTTTGCTAATAAGTCGCTCTACCTATATGACAACATTAAATTTGTATATTTATTAATTTCCAATACAAAATATATCATTCCTATAAAAGAATTACTGTATGTAGTTTGTCGACAAGGTATGTATAACTATAATACTAGACAAATTTTATTAATTCAGACTCAAGGAATATTAGCAATGACCAAAAATGTATAACACCTAAGTACCTACATAAAAAATACTTTGTAAAAAAATAAGTAAAGCATTAGATAGGGATTATTTTAACAATTTTCGGTTTTTGTAATAAAACGTTATCATTTCTTACCTCACAGCAAGAAGCCTGTAAATTTTAAAAGGCATAACAGCAATTTTTCATTATTTTTAATGTAGAATAACAACAGTAAGATTGTAGTAAAAATAAAACAATAATATAATAAAAAAATGTATTAAAAATAAGTGAAATAACATAATTTTATGTTTATTTATTAAAAATTAGAAAAGCGAAATAAAACTTGTTTAGTGGGCTGATTTTCTATATTTTAGTTTTTAAATGGGAGTGGAACTGTTGACGTGTCTTGTTTATGTTATGCTTGGCTTTCAATACTGATACTTCAAATTAA